GGTGTCCTTAAACAGGTAATTCACTGCCCCAAGGATCAGGTTCCTTACGTAAAGTGAGAGGATTGAAACAGATAATTTCTAAGGCACCTCTGGCCCTGATGCTTTTGTTCTATGATTCTTTGGTTTACAGCAGGGGATGAGCAGACCACGGAGCCCCCAAAACATTAAAGCCCTGTGCTACATGACTCTGCCAGCTGGCATCTCTACCTTGGGCATCAGGTTCCTCACCTGTGACTTGCGATGGTCCCCAGTCACCTTCTGAGCACTAATAATTCTTTGAGCTTAAGGGTTTAGCCCAGCTCGATCCAGGTGGGAATGTCCCCTAGGAGTATGCTGATGTTGGGTAACATTTAGAAAGTCCAGATGCTGTTGCGGAGGGGCACATTCTGCCTACCTTTCTTCTTCCACCTCATCTGTTCTTTCCTCATTACCCTCTGGGGTTGGCTGTATAATGGCCCCCCAAAGATGTCCTCCACTGTCTGTCAGTTTGTCCTACCGTGGTGACCTGCATGTTGCTGTGATACTGGAAGTTATGTCACCAGTATTTCATATACCAGCAGGGTCACCTATGGTGGACAGGTTTCAGCAGAGCTTCTAGACTAAGACAGACTAGGAAGAAAGTTCTGGTGATCTATTCCTAAAAATTAGCCAATGAACTCTTATGGATAGCAACAGAATATTGTCTGAAATAGTGCCAGAAAATGAACCCACTAGGTTGGAAGGCACTCAAAATACACAGCAGCCACAACAATAGACTCGAGTATATCAATGATGGTGAAGATGGTGCAGGACCGGACAGTGTTTTGTTCTGCTGTACATGGGATCTCCATGAGTCGGGCCAACTTGACAGCAACTCACACCAACAAAGATGTCCATGTCCTAATCTCCAGAACCTGTGAAAATGTTGCCTCACATGGCAAAAGGGACTTTGGAGATGTGATTAAGTTAAGTACATTGAGATGGGGAGATTATCCTGGGTTATCCAAATGGGCCCAATGTAATCACAACAGTTCTTAAAAGAGGGGCAGGAGGGGCAGAATGAAGGAAGATGTGATGATGGAAGCAAAGAGACAGAAGCCTTTACCTAACACACTGGCAATGACCAAAAGCCTGGGCCCTGGTGCCAGACTTCCCAGGGCATACCTGACTCCCCATTCATTGTACGACTGTAGGCAAGTTAGGTAACCTCACTGTGCCTCAGTTTCCTCATCTGTAAAATGGGGATAATAAAAATAGATACCTCATAGGGTCATCATGAGGATGCAATGAGCTAGTGCGTGGAAAGTGCTTGAAGGAAGGACCAAAAAACCCACTGCTGTCCAGTCAATTCTGACTCACAGAGACCCTATAGGACAGAGCAGAACTGCCCCATAGGGTTTCCAAGGCTGTAATCTTTATGGAAGCAGACTACCATGTCTTTCTCCCATGGAGCTACTGGAGGGTTTAAACTGCCAACCTTTTGGTTAGCAGCTGAGTGCTTAGCCACTGCACCACCAGGGCTCCTTTGGAGGAAGGGTTGGCACCTAATACATACTCTTTCCATGTATTTGTTATCATATTTATTGTTAATACTAGGGAAGTAAAGGCTACATTGGACCCGCATAGGTCTTCAGAAATCCCCCCTCTCCTGAAACGGAAGGATAGTGTCATGGATTGAATTGTGTCCCCCAAAAATATGTGTCAACTTGGGTAGGTCATGATTCCCAGTATTGTGTGGTTGTCCTCCATTTTGTGATTTTCCTATGTGTTATAAATCATAATATCTGCCTGTGGTTAAAGAGGATCAGGGTGAGATGTAACACCCTTGCTCAGGTCACACCCCTGATCCAACGTAACGGGAGTTTCCCTGGGGTGTGGCCTGTACCACCTTTTATCTTACAAGAGATAAAAGGAAAGGGAGGCAAGGAGAGAGTTGCGGACCTCATAATGCCAAGAAAGCAGTTCTGGGAGCAGAGCGCATCCTTTGGACCTGGGGTTCCTGCACAGAGAAGCTCCTAGTCCAGGGGAAGATTGATGAAAAGGGCCTTCTTCCAGAGCTGACAGAGAAAGAAAGCCTTCTCCTGGAGCTGACGCCTGAATTTGGATTTCTAGCCTACTAGACTGTGAGAAAATAAATTTCTCTTTGTTAAAGCCATTCACTTGTGGTATTTCTGTTATAGCAGCACAAGATGACCCAGATAGATGGCAGATTAAACATTCTCCACTCAGCTCATCACTGTTTCTCCCATTAAAAAGGCTTCTTTCCTCCAAGCTCTGACCCTTCCTGTCCTTTCCACTGACACCAAAATTGTCTTTGTAACAGACAGTGAGTTGTATCACCCATACTTCATGAACCTTCAATGGCTCCCCAGTGTTTAAAGACTAAAATTCTCCTCCTCAGCCTAAGAGTTGAGTCCTCTTCCTCTGACTTTATCCTGCTTTTCCACCTCGTCCTCCATTCCATCTCCCTATATTCCCTGACCACCACCCATCTGGCAGTTTGTTGTACTGTGGTGGCTTTCTTGCTGCTGTGATGCTGGAAGCTGTGCCACTGATATTTCAAATACCAGCAGGGTCACCCATGGTGGACAAGTTTCCAGACTAAGAAAGAGTAGGAAGAAAGGCCTGGTGATCTACTTCCAAAAATTACCCAATGAAAACCCTATGGATTATAACAGAGTATCATCCAGTATAGTGTTGGAAGATGAGCCCCCAGGTTGGAAGGCACTTGAAATACACAGCAGCAGCAACAATGGACTTGAACATACCAATGACTGTGAAGATGGCACAGGACCAGGCAACATTTCATTCTGTTGTATATGGGGTCGCTGTGAGTTAGAGCTGACTTGACAGCAACTGACAATAATACCAGAACATCACACTTCTACTAATTGTTCCCACCAAGCCACCATTTTGGCATTACCAGGCCTTAAGCTGTGCCGAAGCTCCCTACTTCTCCCTATTTCTCCTATGGAAATCCTAGCCTTCCTTCATGGCTCAGCCGAAGTGCCACCTCCTCCAGGTTGCCATCTCTGATTCCCAGTGCTGAACATGCGGTAGGCATTCAATAAATATTTGTTGAATAAATGAACAAATGAAAGAATGACAGAAGTGCTCCTTCCTCATCCTCCTACAGTTCATTGGTTGAAATTGTATGATTCCACTCATCATTCTATTCCAAGTTCAACTTGTACTCGTCTCTTTACTCCTTGAGACTCCTCTCTGCTGGGTTACTGAACTTCCAAGAGGAAGCAAGATTCGTAATTTGCAGTCCTCTTTTAAAGACTGATATGGACAAGGCAGATCCTCGTAATGGGATGATATTAGGATGTCAAAATCAAAGACCACTGATGCTGCAAGAGTCTGTAAAAACCACCTAGGTCCCTGGTTTTCAAACTGTTTTTAGCATCAGAATTAATTTTTCAAATGAACTTACATGGAAACTCCAAAATGCAAAAGAGTCGAAAGAATAAAATTAGGGCTATCCTGGTGGAAATGGAATCTAGATCCTAAGGCACTTCTGCAAATTCCCAAGGCTCCTGGGAACCCTTGGAGACCCCCTGGTCCAGCCTCCCCCTTCATTTTGCTCACAGTGATGCTATTCTCCAAAGCAAGAAAAAGCCTGAAGAGTACCCAGCGCTGTCTGTAGTCTGGTCCCCATCTGCCCTTCAGCTCCTTCTCCCCCAAGCACATCCTGTGTTCCAACCGCAATGAGCAGCCTGCATTTCCCCAAACGTGCCATATACCTCAGGCCCGCATGTTCTTGCTCAGGTTGTTCCCTCCACCTGGAACACAATGAGTTACCAATTGTCTGCTCAACCTTCAAGACTCAGCTTTTCCTCCAGGAAGTCTCCCTTTGCACATCCCCATCTCACCTAACCCCAAAGGTGAAGTTAGGTCAAAGCAGAAGCCACCACCCACTGGAATGGTGTAGTGCCTAAACCTAATAGGCTGAGGTGGAGCAGGGGACAGCCTTCACCTGCAAACCAGCAGGGTGGTGCTAAGAGGGGCCAGAGAAGTGCACCTAATCTGATTTCAGGCTCAAACAGCAGCAATGAGTCTTACCCAGCAGATACCTGGGTGGCCTCTGGTTGTGACTGAAAGCTACCATCACCAAAAGAGCCAATTAGAAAATGTACACATTTCTGTAAGATCCTTGGGTGGCGCAAATGGTTTGCACTCATCTACTAACCAAAAGGTTGGCAGTTCAAACCTACCCAGTGACACCACAGAAGAAAGGCCTGGCAATCTGCTTCCATAAAGATTTTAGCCAAGAAAGCCCTATGGAGCAGTTCTACTCTGAAATACATGGGGTCACCATGAGTCAGAACTGACTTGTCAGCAATGGGTTTGGGTTTTATTGGTAAGGCCTGACGTGGAGTGTCCCTCGATGGTGCAAATAATTAATATGCTCAGCTGCAAACTGAAAGGTTGGAGGTTTGAGTCCACCCAGAGGCACCTTGGAAGAGAAGCCTGGCAATCAATCTATTTCCAAAAAATCACAGCCATTGGAAACCCTGTGGAGCATAGTTCTACTCTGACACACATGAGGTCACCATGAGTCGGAGCTGACTTGACAGCAACAGACATACACACACACACACACACACACACACACATCTGTATGCATAAGGCCCCTCCGTGGCTCCTTGATGCCGGCAGAATAGACCCTTGCTCTGGCGTCTGAGGCCTTTGGGACCTCTGGCCTCATCTCATCTGCAGACTCTCTCCCGGAACACCCACACTCCAGCCACTAAGAACTGCCTGCACTCCCAAGCCAGTGTGTGTGGTGCAGCACTTCTTCAGTACCAATGCAGCCTGCTCCCTTATCCCCTGCACCTTCTCCTGCCTCCCTGCCTCTCACTCTCTCTGCCCCCAAGTGCCCAGCACAGGGCCTGGTACAGATGGCCTGCAAGATTTGCTAAGTAGAATAGCACCCAAAACCAGGTGGGGAGACCGAAGCTGTCTGCGTCGCCGCAGCACCATCTGCTGGGCAGATCCCACGGCGCGGGGGCACTCACCTGCGTGGGGGCATTCACCACCGACAGGTTGTACCCATAAAGAAAGGAGGAGCCAAAGGCGCCCACGAAGGAGGCCAGGAGGAGCGAGCAGGACCAGTCCTGGGGGAAGAGATGAGACGCGTTAGACCTGGCACTAGGGAGCAGAGCCGAATACCCGCGAGGACGCCACCTGGACTGCTCCAGAGACACAGAAGGTGGAGGGAAGCTAATTAAGTTCGGAGCCAGCCAGCCAGGCTCTCGTCCCAGGTTTGCAGTGTGCTGGCTGGTGGTCTACGCAAAACCCTCACCCCCGTGAGCCTCAGTTTGCTGTTATCCAGGCGGCCATAGCGTCACCTTCGCCATGGGGCTGTGTGAAGATGATGAAAGCATGGCTAACGTCTTTAGTGGAGTCCTGGAATGGTGCCAACAACTTAATACCCTCGGCTGCAGACTGAAAGTGTAATGGGACCCTAGAGGCAGAGGACACCTAATTTATTAGTACTCCACCAGTTATCAGGCCACTCCCAGTCACCTCCCCCCACGTCACTCACTTCCTGTAAGTTGTTTTGCAGACTCTCTGGAGAGTCCCTGAGGGATCCAGATCTAACTGGCTCAGAGTGGTCAGACATGCATAGAACAGACAAAGGTGATGGACAGATGACCCCCGGCAGCCACGCATACTCAATAACACGAGAACTCATGCCAAGGAACAAAAAGACTCATGTCAGAGAACCAGAATCACCGGACATATGTCATCTGCAGTAGTGGAGCCCATTTCAAAAGCGAAGAGTCTGTAGGCTGCTTCACTGCCAAGTCTTAGCCCAGCCCCATAATAAGTAATCAGTAGAAACTATGAATATGTAGAACTTCCAGATCCTGCCCACCTGCCTTCCTCCACCCGTATATAAATATGTATAATTCCCCAAACCTATAAAATGTAAATGCTTCCTCAAATCGAGGAACTCAATCTGAGGTCGATACCTCTGAGTTCTCACTTGCTAGCCTGTGAAATAAATTTTCTTCCTCTCAAAACCAGCGTCTGAGAGATTGGCTCCTTGAACGCTGGCAAGGACCCATTGGTCCAGTTTCAAAAGGTTGGAGATTCAAGTCCACCCAGAGACACCTCAGAAGACAGGCCTGGCCATCTACTTCCGAAAAATTAGCCATTGAAAACCCTATGGAGCACAGTTCTACTCTGACACACGTGAGGTCGCCAGCAGGCAGAATGACTGCACAGCAACTGGTTAAAAGTCTTTAGCAGATGCTCTCTAGGTAGTTACATAGTATTTTTTAGCTGAATTCGACCAGATTCTGACCTAGGTAGGAGCAAAAAGCAAAGTCAGACTAAGTTGCTGGCAGCAGCAGCTTGCACTTGTTAAGACTTGTGTGGCAGGCAGTGTTCTAAGGGCTTTCAGGTATCGTTTCATTGAATCCTCAGAGCAATCCTGTTAGATCAGTGCTGTTTTATCCTCGGAAGAAGTACAACCAGAATGTTCCTTAGAAGCAAGGATGGCGGGACTACGTCTCACATACTTTGCACCTGTTATCAGGAGGGATCAGTCCCTGGAGAAGGACATCATGCTTGGTAAAGTAGAGAGTCATTGAAAAAGAGAAAGACCCTCAATGACATGGATTGACACAGTGGCTGCAACAATGGGCTCAAGCATAACAACGATCATCAGGATGACGCAGGACCAGGCGGTGTTTCATTCTGTTGTACATAAGGTCGCTACGAGTCGGACTCAACTCAATGGCACCTAACAACAACATTTCATCCTGATTTACAGGCAGGGAAACAAAGGCACAGAGCTGTTTCCTGGTGCTGTCTGGAATTGGGACTGGAGCCCAGGTGTCTGACTGCAGCACACACGTGGCCACCTGACACACCACTCAGCCACACATGCACATATATACACACATGCACATATTGCATGTACACATGCACACATGAGCATGCATACGACACATATGCACACATGCACACACGTGCACATCCATGCATATGCATGCAGGCACATATATATGCACATGTATGTAAACACATGTGCACCGTTCCAGGCTGAGTCATCAAGTGCCCTCCAAGCACTTCAGGGCAAGGAGCTACAGGCCAAGAGGTACAGGGCTTGGCTTGCAGCTGCCTCAATGTAATCCTGCCCCATGGCCCCATCCCAGGATGGACACAGCCACTGCAGGGCTACGGAAGAGAAACATCTGTGCTTCTTGGCAAAGGTTGGTCAGCTGGCAGGAGCCAGAGGCAGGAGCAGCTGGCATCTCTAGATGGCTTCCCTGGCTGGTCAGGGGATGTGGCCACTCACCAGATGGAGTCCCTGGGGGCTCTTAGAAGGAACTTTCTCTACTATCATTTAACATGAGCCAGTGTGGTGTGTGTGTATGTGTGTGTCTTCTAGGTACCATGCCCTAACAAAGCTCTGGGCACCCAGCAGAGATAAAAACAAGTGAAGTCCACAGTTCAGGAAAATGAATTGGTCAGATGCTACCCGGAAAGAGAAGCAGGACCCCATAGCGAATTCCCTGCTCTGCCCACCTACTGAGCCTCCTCTGGCATAGGCTCCAGTGCCAGATGGCTCCACCACTCTGCTGTGGGAGCCTCAGCCAGTTACTGGACCTTTCTGGACCTCAGCTTGCCCAACTGTAAAATGGGACCTTAACAATTGTACTTGCTGCATGAGGCTGTTGAGGAGTCGATGCGTTACTGGGTGGGGAGGCTTAGGGGTGTGTGTGCATGAAGTGTGAGCTCAGAAGGGTGCTTACTCTGTGTTTTCTCTCTCCACTTCTGGCCCGGCGATAAGGATGGCCATTGACCAAGTAAACATGCCAAGATCTCTCTTGACCTTGCCTGTGCTGCCACATCTGCCAGAAACCCTCCTTTCTAGAGACTCTTTCTTATCTAAGACTCATTACAAATGTTTCCTCCTCTGAAACAGTCTTTGAAAGCCCATCCCCTCATTTTTATGCTTATCTCTTTGATACAACTTTGTCTGACTTCCAGTTCCGCCATTTACGACCATGTGGCCTTGAGCTAGTGACTCAGCCACTCTGTAACTCAGTTTCCTTGTCTATAAAATGGGGGTGAGAATAGCACCCAGCTCATAGGCTGTTCCGCGGGAGAAAGGTGTTGAAGCAGGTAAAGTTGTCCAGAGAGCCTGGCACACCGTAGGGCCAGGTGAATGTCAGCAGCAGGGGCCAGCCAGGGAGCACCTTGGGGATGGGAGTCTTCTCCTGTCTGCACTCCTGAGCAGTCGGTGCTAGAGAGTGGATGGAGGATGAGAGGGAGGGTTTGCAGGCCATGGGGTAGACATCGCCAGGCGTGGGACCAGAATATTCTTCTGCAGTGGAAGGAGCTTGAACTGAATGGGCTTCACTGACGAAGGACAAAACCATACTGTACACAAAACTCCCATCCTCTGTCACCTTTTTTCTTTAAATTTGTCCCCTCCGTCACCTTTTTTCTTTAAACTTGTCCTTTTGGTCTCAGCTCAGATGTCACACCTCCTGACCCCTAGGTTGTGTTGGGTATCTTTTCTGGGCCCACATCACCTTTGAGGACACGGTCTGTTCCCTTGTCTGCCTGCCCGCCATACCTGGAGCTCCTGAAGAGGGGCCCCAGCCAGAGGATGGAAGGAGAAAGTGGGGGCTACCTCCTCCTGCCTCAGTTGCTCTCCCGGGAGCCCCCGCCCATCATGGCCCACCTGTGCCCACTATCTCCTCACTACCGGGTCCCACAGGCAGAAATGTCCAGCTGACAGTGGTGCTGGCTGCCTGTGCCAATGCCCTGGAGGAGGGAAGAAGAAAGCCATCCTGAGCATGTGCCAGCAGGGTTCCCCAAGATCGCATTCCATCTGCATAGCCCCCCTGCAAGAAGGTGCCATTTATCCCGGTAAACTAAGGCTCTGCGAATTGGTGCAGCATGCCTCAGGTGACACAGGTGACGACACAAGTGAGGCCAGGATTCTCACTCAGCCCTCCCACAGCCTATGGCCTTTCAGCTGGAACAGCTGCCGGCTAGCTGAGGCTGCCAACCACACCCGCCCACAACCCTCCAGGTCATAAAGAAGCCGGCTTACTATGTTTTTACCTTTCTTCTCCTTCCACCTGGCAACCCGCTCCTCAGGTGTTCCCACTCGGGCAGCTCCCTCCCTGGGGCCTGGGAGCTGGTGGTGCCAGGACTAAGCAGAGCGAAGCTCAGCCCCCTGGAATCCATGCTTTTGTTTCCATAAGCCTGGTCCTGCTGGCGCTGCTGGCAACTCAGCCCGCAGCAACTCAGGGACTCTGGGCTCTGCCAGGGCATTTGGGCACGTGAGGAGGCAGAGCCCAGGGTAGGTAGGGCAGGGCTGCCTGATCAGGAAATAAGGCAATTTTATCAAGTCTGAACACGATATGGGGCAGCATTTTTATCCCTGCTCCCAAGTCATTCCAGCAACTGATGAGTCCCAAAAGGGAAGCCTGTGCTCTCAGGAATCACGACCCAGGGTCTGAATTTCTTCTTTAGCCTCTTTTTATTTCTATTTAACAGACCAGTGTGCATGGAGGGGGATGATGGGCAGAAACTCAGGAAAGTCTCCTTAACGAATGGACTGATAAAAAGATCACTGACTTAGCAGTACAAACCCGGGATTCCAACCCTGACTCCACCCTTTTTTAATGGGGTGACTTCAGACAAGTCACTTAACTTCTCTAAACTGCCATTTCCACAACTGCAAAAATGAGGCTATTGATCTCTGCCCTGATTGTTCAAGAGTGTAATTCTGAGGCTTCGACATGAACCACGCAGCCCCAAGCAGCCTGTGGGGAGTGTCCATGGTCTGCCCCTCAGCTCTAGAACAAACAAGGAGGCTATGGGTTTGCAAGAGAAAGAATTAGCCACATGGCCATTACTCTCTCCTGCTCATTCAGCATATGCTGAGCGAACACCTAAAAAACCACAAGCTGCAGCTGATCATGGCCAACTCATGACAACCCCATGTGTGTCAGAGTAGACCTGTGCTCTGTAGGGTTTTCAATGGCTGATTTTTCAGAAGTAGATTGCCAGGCCTTTCTTCTGAGGTGCTTCTGGTGGACTTCAATCTTCAATCTTTGGTTAGCAGCCGAGTGCATTAACC